TTTGCTCAAAATGTTTTTCTGCTGTAGGAGTTTCCTGGTGGCATTTTTTTCATGCAACTCATATCATATCATCTTCAAATAAAGAAAACTTTGACATCTTCATTTCCAACTTGCAATCCTTATATATCCTTGAGTTGTATTATTGCTCTACCTATCACATCAAATACTATATTGAATAGGTTTGAAGAGAGAGGATAACATTGCCTTGTTATTGATTTCACATGAATGTCTTAGAGTTTCTTTTCATTAAAGTTGTTGCTAAACCATGGGTTTTCTATAAACTGTATTTACTGTGAAGTGTGTCCGTTTTATCTGTCCCTTTACTCTTTCAAGAACTTGTTTATCATTGTTACCTTTATTAATGAGTTCAATTAAAATTGATTGTGTATAAATATGTGGGGCTATTCACTGGTGCATGGGAAACCTACGAATGGCCCAATCAAAAGGAAATAATTTTCCCTCTGCATCAACTGACTGCCATCAACAGACATCAGGGATCTTCACTTTCAAGGACTCTTATTATGAGTGGGTATTGGGATTTGTGAAAGTATGATTCTGCATTCATTAAGGGGAATATATTTTCTTTTATTTTATTTATATAGTAGATTACATTTGTCGATTTTTGTATGTCAAATCATCCTTGCATCTTTAGGATGAAGTATACCAGATCATGATAGATGATCTTTTTGATATATTCTTATATTTAGTTTGCAAATTTCTGCAACTATGTTCATAATGGACATTTATCTGTAATTCTCTTTCCTTGTGGGTTCCATGTGGTTTGGCTATTAGGGTATTCATATTTTGTAGAATATCACAAGTCATATTGGTATTAAATATTATTTAGTGTCTGGTATAATTATTATTTTGATATATGCTAGAATTTTGCTGTAAAACAATCTTTCCCTAGTTTTCTTGGTTGGGAGATTTTTAACAGTCCTTCTATATCACTAGGTTTCATGTTTGTTTAAAATATGTATATGATCTTTACATAATTTTGATAAGTAATATGCATAAAGAAATTATCTATTTCTTTTATATTAATGTTTTATTGATTTTTAAGGTATATCCTATGATTTTCTGAAATATCTTGATATCTGTTGTTATGTCTCCCTTTTCATTTGTGATTTTACTATTTTGATATTCTCTCCCAACCATTTAGTTAACATGAATAAAAAACTGCCAGTATTATTGCTTTGTCAAAAAGAAACAACTATTTGTTTCATTGATTTTTTTTTAATTTTGATTTTTCTTTTTCCTTTTTTTATTTAAATATGAAACAAGGTTGTTTTACATGTAAACCCTAGTTTTCTCCCCCTTCTGTCCTCCCCTATCACACTCACCAAACTCTACCTCATCCCCTTTCTGCTCCCCAGGGAGTGTGAGGCCTTCCATGGGGGTCTTCAAAGTCTGTCATATCATTTGGGGCAGGGCCTAGCCCCTCCCCCATGTGTCTAGGCTGAGAAAGTATCCTTCTATGTGGGATGGGTTCCCAAAGTCCATTCATATACTAGGGATAAATACTGATCCATTACTACAGGCCCCATAGACTGCCCAGTCCACCTAACACACACACACACATTCATTGGATATGGATCAGTCCTATACTGGTTTTCCAGCTATCAGACTGGAATACATGTGCTTCCTCTTGTTCAGGTCAGCAGGTTCTGTGGGTTTCTCCAGCATGGTCTTGACCCCTTTGTTCATCACTCTTCCCTCTCTGTAACTGGATTATTGGGGAAGGGCTTTAAGGCATCCTCTCCACTATTGCTTAGATTCTTAGTTGGGTTCATCCTTGTAAGCTCTCTGGGCATTTCCCAAGTGCCAGATTTTTCCTTAGTTCTATAATGGTTCCCTCTATTATGATATCTCATTTCTTCTTCTATATTCTTTCTCTGTCTCAAACTTCCCGTATTCTCTCCTCTCCCCTCCTCTTCTCCCCTTTTCTTTCTCCTTTCTCCCTCTCTACTCCCTCCATGCTCCTAATTTACTCAGGAGATCTTGTCCCTTTCCCCTTCTCCAGGGGACCATGTATGTCTCTTTTAGGGTCCTCCTTGTTTCCTAGCTTTTCTGGGAATGTGAATTCTAGGCTGGTAATCCTTTGCTCTATGTCCAAAAGACACATATGATTGAGTACATACCATGTTTGTCTTTTTGTGACAATGTACTCAGAATAAGTGCAATTATTCTTCTACTAAAACCCATAAGAATTTCCCCAAGGGTCATCATAAAGAGGTCACTATAAAACATAATGAAATATGCCTTGAACAAAATATTTATGACAGACATCACTAAGTGTTTCATAGTGTGATTTTTATTGTATTCTTTATTTCATACATATCATGTAGCTATACAATTTTGGGTATAGTTTAATAATGAAGACATATTTGAGTAAAAGAGAAAGCAAATTGAACAAAATATATTTTCCAATTCCTCAATATTGTGTTTATCTTCCATGGTCTTTTTAGAGAAATCTGGTAGAAAATCTGTTCAAAATAATTAATTCAATAAATAATTTTAGATATCTATAAAATACTATATAATTCAAGAAGAAACACAGTATTAAACTAATTTCCTAAGAGAAAAGAACTGGACCAGCTATTCTGTGATGGCTATGATAGATACATAAATTTACTGATAGTTTGTATTTTTATATGACTTCGGTAAATAAGCTGTATATGGCCTGAGAGAAGTAGTTAAAAACTTACTGTTGAAGCTGAAGCATTACCCTTCCAAAGGTATAGTTACTTCAACAGCCAGGGTTCTCATTACAAAACAAATATGCTATTAATCCAATATGAATATTTTGGTCTTTCTGAAAGGAACATGGTTAGACAATGATACTATTTTGGATTTTAAATATGTTTTAAATGACACTGATGGAGTAGATTATGTAGTTATTTTGTTAAATAACATTTTCTACATTATAGATTATGGTGAATCAAAACTCTCTTTTATTTTACTTCTTCCCATGATATAGAAAACTTAACAAGGGGGTGGCATGAAGACATTTCTTTTGCTCTTATGCATGGACAAATGTACAGTTGTCTTTGCTTTTAATGCAGAGGGACAACTTGAATTCAATCTCTAGGACAGCTAATAAAAAGATGCATTCTAAGTGACAGGAGACACATCTGCTAATGCCCAGCTTTGGTTTCCTTGATCTCCTTATGTCTCTCTGCACTTTTGTATAATAGTTTGACATGTTGTGTAAATAAGAGAAGACTTTGACTGTGTTCTCAGACTCTGCTCCAAGAGCTCTATCCCTCATGTTCATCTTGTATTGCACTAGCACACTAAAGTTCAGGCTGCAGTTTGGCAGCTTCTGTACAACCTCTGAAGGTATTGAGTGTTGTGAAACTCTAGGGGTTATTAACTACATGCAATTAACTGAAGAGTTGCCTAAGGAACTAAAGCAACAGGGAGATTTACTTTTTGTTTATTACTTACTTACTTACACATTGTGACAGTGTCTCATCAAAATCAAGCCAAGCCACATATTCACTATGTAACTGGTGTGGGTACTTACATCTTGAACTTCGAGGTTTCAGCAACTAAGTATTGGGACTGCATATATGCACTACGACTACTGGAGTTTTTAATTAAATTTTGATTCATGACATGAACAAAGGAAACAAAGTTAATGATTGTCATTTTAAGTATTACAGTGAGTAAATGATGATATGTTATATAGTATGACAAAATAAAGAATGGGTAATTTATCAACTGCAATGCAAACACGGGAAGAAATTAGTTATAATTAGAAGGCAACACATTGTAGAAATTAAAAGTTTAAGGAGTTCTTAAAAGAAAACCTTGAAGATGCCACATGCATTTAAAGACATGATGGCTTCATTATAGGGGATTTAACTTACATGCTCAAGAGGACACCGGGAGTGTAATTTGGAGAAAGCACAAGTTAAGTAAAAATAAAAGGGCATAAGAATTAAATCAGAATTAAGCCAAATTTGATGGTTACTAGCACCCAGAAAGTCGATTTTCTTCATTGGTGGGGATCTTCAAAGTTTACGTGCTTCAATAGATAGAAAGCAGAGCAGAAAGAGATGTATTTGATCAAATCACATTATAGTCATTTACAATTTCTCCAACAACAGATAATTCAATTACTAACTTTAAAAATTCTATTCAATATGTGCAATGCATTTCTTTAATTTCTTAGATTTCAATATAAATGTCAAGTAGTTATTTAAAACAAAGCATCCAAGACCCTATTGTAGATTACTGAATGAGAAGATGTAAGTAGAATATAGAAATCTCATTCATACATCTTCCCAGTTGTGTTCAATTGGTCCAGGACAGCCCTTTGATAATTAACTCCAAGACCAAGTCCTGCTATGTGTCTATAATCATCGATGTGTTTGTAACTTGAATAAAATCAAGAACAAATTGTATCATAAATAATAATTTGAAAAGCATAAACAACAAAATAGCAACCAATTTAGCCAAAGACATGGTCATGAGAGGAAATAATTTTGAGAGAAAAAGGTTGGTAGAGCTTATATGATTTTGTAACTTCTGTGGTTTCTCAACTGTCTTTCTTCTCTTTTCAAATAAACAAAAAGCCTCCTAGTTTTGTATTCCTCTCTATAATTTTATTGACATTTTCTGATTTGTGTATGTGGTTCTCGAGCCTTTGAAGATGAGAAATGTTATTCTTTTCATATTTGCTAATTCTTCCATAGCAGTACACTTGAAACTTGAGCATTTAATCACTGAGTATATTCTTTCTACATGACAAAGCTGTGCATTATAATCCTCCTGTTATTACAAGATCTCTGCTGTCTCTGATACATTTACACTTCAATTACAATTACAATGCTTTTTTCCTAACAGCTTCTTGTTTCTGAAGCATGATTCTCAAGGATTATGTTATAATGAGAACAAAGGTTATTGACTGCTTTTCACATTTTTCTCTGAGATGCTCTGCCAGCCACAAAAGAATAAAACAGAATTTATGCCAATATCTCTTCTCTCCATAGGAAAACATAATGGAAGTAATCAGAAATCAAGAGTTTTTACTCCTTCCAGCTGAAGAGCTCCATAAACTACTGGCCAGTGATGATGTAAATGTCCCTGATGAAGAGACCATCTTCCATGCATTAATGATGTGGGTCAAGTATGATATGCAGCGGAGATGTAGTGACTTAAGCATGCTGCTTGCCTTCATAAGATTACCACTTCTTCCACCACAGGTAATTTTGTATCTTGCTATTTCAGCATGTAAATACTAAAAATTCCTGTATTATAAGCAAACATTACTACACAGTTTGAATTATTTTACAGCATCCTAGGAAGGTAATGAGGAGGTATATTCACATTAAGTAAGAGGGCATAAAATTATGTGTGAAGGACCATGAATCTAATCTCATCTTCACTGCATGTAGATTCATGGGTGCTTTTATCATTACAACAAAATTATATTTTGCTACAATTTTCGCATTATAAGGTATGATTATACTGCATGTAAAATGGTTTGTGAAATCAAATAGATAACCAATGTATGTGTTACAGTGTCCACTACCTTTTTAATAATCTACTTGTAAATACTCTCTATAAAACTTAAGACCTGCACAAAAAGAGGGAAAACATGGATGTTATTGGAAACCTAGCCAACTACCCAAGGGTTAATGAAGTCATAAATCTCAAAGGAGAATCAACAACCATCACTTTAGTAAACCAGCATAATGCTAACTGTATTATAAATATTTCTTCTTATAGTCTTTTTAAATTTGATCAATGATGCAAGTATGTGATAATTATTTAGAGAAAAAGGTATATATGTTTTATGTATAGGGTCAACTGAATGACTTTTAAAAATTTGTAGTGAGATCCAATATGTTCTTAAGCTATAGAAACTCATAAGACTACGTACCAGTTAGAATTATGTAATTTTTTTGTACTACATGTAAAGAAACAAACAGAAAACTAAAACCACCATTCTATTTTATTGATGAGCACAGAGAACAGAGGGCAGACAATGACAAGAATTTCTCTGAGTTGACATAACATTTATATCGATACTTTTGTTTGTTTCTTTCTTATTTTGTTTTTTGAGATAGGGTTTCTTTGTGTAGCTTTGGAGCCTATCCTGGTAGAATAGGTTAGCCTTAAACTCACAGAGATCAGTATTTCTCTGCCTCCCCAGTACTGGGATTAAAGTTGTACCACCTAGTGGTGGTAGGTTCTAATTCACCAATTTTTGGCTAGAAAATTCATTTCAGTTACAAATAACAAAAATATCCACTGACTTCTTCTTACTAGAATATCACAAGCCTTTGAGTTAAATTTCATGAAGAAAAATCTCAGGCTCTATTTGGCCTCCCTGTGACCCATAGTCACAGCTTTGTAGCGTTACAAGACTGATCTATATAACCAAGATGTATAATTTCTATTCTTGTCAAAAAGCAAGCTCAAAATGGATTACACCATTAAAATATGTGAAATTATATATAAATAGGAATTACTTTAAAGTACTTGAACTAACTGGATATTCAGCTATGGTTCTGGAGAATAGAATTTGTTGTTACTGTGATACAATTATGATACATGAAAATAACCAATATGGGTAAGTTGCAGAATAGTATATGAAAGTCTAAAATAAAGTGTTTGCAGTTTTTGTATAAGGGAAAACACCAAGGTGACACTTAAGAACTTTGATATTTAAATAGCTATTTATTATGAATACAAATAAATATGTAGAAAAGTGTGATTCAGTAAAAGATAAATCACACAAACTTTTGGTTACTCCTCAAATTAAGTTTATCAGGTGCCTTAAAATTTCTATGCATGGCTCATAAAGAACAATTACAGACCTTGTATGAGTCTGAGCTAGGTCCTGTGCAAATATGTTAAGGTTGTATAGCTGAGTATTCTTGTGGGGCTTCTAACAATGGGAAGTTGGTGTCTTTGACTCTTTTTGCCTGTACCTGGGTCTCCTCCTGCTGGATTTCCTTGTCTAGCCTTGATATGGGGGTTTGTGTCAAGCCTTATATAACTTCTTATGCTGTGTTAGATTGATAACTCTGTGAGGCTGGTTCTTATCTTAAAGGAAACAGAGGAGTATGGAATTTTTGAAGACGAGGATGTAGAGGAAATTGTTGTTGGATACAATGTTTGAAAGAAGAATAAATTAAAAAAAATATTAAATTAAAAAAATAAATAAAAAAAAACAATTCTAGGATGAAAAAGCAGTGTACATGGTGAGTTGGTATGTAATCATAGAAAAGGAGACTGAAATTAACAAGGGCTATAGATTAGATCCTATTGCAAATTAGAGTAAAACACACACACATGCCCATGCACACACATCCCTGTGTACATACTAATAAACCATTTACATGTATTTTACAAATGCATGTTTCACAAAGAATGATAGAAGACTGATTAGTGACAAAAATGCTTTAGTTATACCAACAATATTCTTCTATATATCTATATTCATAAGGTAATTGACCAAACTAAGTTGGCCATAAAACACATATTTTCTTTTTTTCTATACTTACAAATTTTTTATTGCTAAGTGTATTGGATGTGTCTAATCAGTTTTTATGTGCATAAGAGAAAATCCATTCTGATATTCTTCATTAATTATGAATGAACCCATGCTATTATGAAGAATGTTATGATAATTTGCCATGGAGACCATAATAAGAATGCAAACTTTACAGAGACAATATGGTTTTTAAACAAGAATAGAAATAGACAATATAAGCTTCAGAAGCAATAAAAAAGACACAGAAGGTCTCCAAAACAACAATATCTATTTTATGTAGTATTGAAATGCAATAGCTTATATTGAAATAAATTCAGTTATTTGACTTCATAATAGAAAAGACCATGAGAAATGGCAGAGTGAAAGAAATAGACAATTGACCTATTTTCCGAGTAAGAATTTTATTATTTTAAATACATTTGTATTTGCATATAGCTGTTTTCACAATTTTCTTACATATACTAAACTTAAAAAAAAAAAACATGATTATAGGAGTATGGAATTTTAAGGCATTTTGATGAACATATGATGACAAGACAATGAGTAGACCCGTATTTGTATTATTATCTTTTCTAAATTAAAATGACTGCTCAGGTTGGTTTGCAATTACAAAGTATACTTTGATATTCTGTAACATTTTTCACACTGATTTGTATTTGGTTTAATAAAGCACATCTTTGCAGTGTGCACATAAATATGCATTAAACTATGTGCATTCAAAAGTTCAAATAGTGCTAGAAGCATAGTTTATGGCACAAAATTCCCTCACATACTCAACATCTTTTGTTTGACTCTCAGCACCATACAAGCATTAATGCATTCATTTTAGTGAGGGTTTCTCTGATTAGTGGCTTTAAAGGGAAATTATAGGGACTAGAGAGATAGGTTGGTGTTAAAAAGCCATTACTTTTAAAAAGGACCTAGGTTCAGATTCTAGCACCCACATCATGTCATTCACAACTACCTGTAACTCCAGCACCAAAGAATCTGTCTTCCCTTCTTGGACTCCAAGAGTACCCATGTGAAACTCCTACATTTGATCTTATGCAATGACACACATAAACTTAAAACAGAAAAAAAAATAATAAAGGTGGTAAAACCAGAGGCTATAATCCTAATGAAGATTTATCTAAGAAGTGATCAAAGAAATCAAATCCTATTAAGAAAATTTTCTCAGAGTTTGAGCATCTACAGATAGTTTTTTCCATTTTTTACGTTTTCATTTCATTTTACATTCCAACCACATTTCTCTCTACCACACCTCTTCCGACCAAAATCTTTTCATCCCACACTGGGTCACCTTTCCTCAGTCCAACCGCCTTCCACACCACCACCAATAAACTCCTCCTGATGGGTAAGATCTCCCATTACGATTCAATGTAGATTGGCTCAATAGTTTGCAGCAGGGCTTGGCCCCTCTTTCATTCATTATGACTGAACATGGCATTCCACCATAGAGAATGGGATCCAATAACCTAACTCATGGACCAGGAGAGCCAGGAGAGGTTTTCTTCATGTCTTAGAACTGGTAATGTTTTCTTGTCAATAGATTACAAGTGTCACTCACAAATTCTTAATAACTAAATTTATTGATTCTTAAGAGAGACATGCAGTTATGTGTTTGTGTCTGTTTCTATGCCTTATACACTTAATCTCACATTCTATGGAAAAAAATGTTGAGAAAATCTTCAATAGAGAAATGAAATACTAGTTTTAGAAGAATATGATCAAAACTAGTAACAAACAATAAGAAATAAAGGAAATTCAATTTTTTATTGTTAAGAAACAGAAACAAACTCAATATCACAAATTGAAGTCTTCCTATGAAGAGCAGCAATAAATATATTACTAAATGCTGTTTGGTGATTTTAATAGCAGTACAGCAAGCAAGGGAAAGATCTCCACCCTTTACCCCCAAAGGAAAAGTAACGATCAGATAACACTGACATAATTAGTCTATTGTCTATAAAAATTATAGTACCAAGTAAACTCCAAACTAAAACACAAGAAAGTGACAAAAGAAACTCAATAAAAAGCCAGAATTCATAAATTACAAGAGAAGACACACAGTAGGTTCCACACATGTAATTCATGTTTCCTATAATTTTACCTCTACAATGTGTGTATGTAACTGCCCAAAACTTTTATCTCCAGCCATCATCTAATAAATTTTACATGTTATGTTTTACAATGGGAGATTAAACAAATGATTTTCAAAATTAGGAACAAAATAATCTCACTGACATCTTTCTAGGATTCTCAGCAGTGTTTCATTTTGCTTTTGGTTTTCATAATTGCTTAATTATCAGTACAGACACTCTCTACTTACTGAAGTTGCAATGCCTCAGAACCCCACTGTTTATGAATAGAGAATAGCATTTATTTCTGTTTCTGAATGCTATATTCAACCTACCCATACATTGTGAATTTTGATCTCTTCTTCTAATATGTGTGAAAGATAGGTGTACATGTCCATTTAAGTAGTAGAAGTTTCACTTTGCTTCTATTAAGCATCTGGAATGTCACATGCACAATGCACAAAATAGGGAATTTCAGTCTCCTAAGACTTTTTTATTTCATTCTTGGTAAACATCTGACCAATCTTCTGGTTTCTCATTCATAAATTTAAAAAAAAAAAATCTCCTCAATTATCCTGCCATGTTGTTGAGCACTCAGTCTCTCTCTTTTTTTTTTTATTAT